TGAATAGTCGCTTTCATGCCAAGTTGTAGTTTTGTTTCGTCTTGTCTGTGTGGTCAATTTCGGTCAATTTCACTGCAAGTATTATGTTTTGTTCACAGGTTTGGATAGGTGGTAGTAGGGATCTCGCAGGTTTATTGTAGCAATTTGTTTGTATTGGTTTGCACAAGAAGGTAGCAGGGTCTTGGGATGGTATTAACAAATGTGCAGGTTTGAGGCTGCAGGGAGCGTACGGTTTGACTTATGTTGCAGAGGTGACCTGTTATTGTGCAGTTTGGACCGTGTAGTTCCATGAGCTTGTTCCTTCTTCTACTTTACTATTTGTTTGCAACGTGTGTTGTAAATGGAATGTAAATGGACCTTAGACTTGTAAACAATAGTAACAATACATATAACAAAAGCTAAAATAAATAAATAAATAAAATGATAAATAAATAAGTAAATAAAAATAATAGTAAAGATAATAATAATAATAACTAAGAAATAATTTTAAACTAAATTAGCAATATAAAAATAAAAAGATGATTCTAAATTAAAAAAATAATCAATTAAGTTTAAACTAATTTAATTAAAAAAAAGTGACAAAAATATAAATTAAATTAAAATATAAACTAAATAGAAATAACTAAAAACTATACTAAAATATAAACTAAATTAAAATAACTACTAAAATAGAAATAACTAAAAAAATATATTAAAATATAAACTAAATTAAAATAACTACTAAAATACTATATTAAAGTAAAAACTATATTGAAAAATAAACTGAATTAAAATATAAATAAAAATAGAAAATAGCCAAAAGGAGACGCTATATTAACAAAATACAAAACTAAATTAAAAATTAAATCAATTCTAAATAATGCTTAAGATAAAAATAAATTCTAAAATGGAAAGATAAAATCGACTAAAAAACGATTAATGGTGAAATGAAATGTTTAACTAAAAAAAATGTAAAAATGGTTGACTTAGAATGATATGAAATGATCAAAGGATCTGAGGGTAAAATTTGGGGTATGACAATATACTTTGGGAATTTCCGAAGATGCATCTTTGGAATATTGTAAAAGGTTTTTCTGTAGTTATATCTCTGAAATTTTCCTGCAGCCTGTTTTTTATTTATTTATAATTTTGTGTGTTCTTTTGTGTTAACTAATTATATGCCTAATTTTACCTTACATGCATAATGGCTGACAGAGTCGACAGACTGAGACATATCAAGGTTGCCCAACATGCATCTGTTCGACGGGAGCGAATCCAGCAGGTTTTGGAGGCAGCAGTTACCTTCGGTCATGCAGAGGCGTTGACTTATGGGGTGCAGTCAACTTCTAGGGCGCAATCTTACTTTTGGGAATTGTGCTTCACCCCAGACCACTCCACCTCAGGCCACTACACCTTATTCTTTTTCCCATAGGAGACATGATTCATCATCTGACGTGTCACTTCCTTCATCCTTCCGCAAGCATCAGGATTCACCAGTGCCATCTTCAACAGATCCACTGCCACATTAAAAGGGTGAGGCTGCTAAGGATGCCAAGCCACAGGGTTTTGGAGGAGGTCCATCTGATATGTCATTACTTCCTCTTTATCTATACCACACTGCTAGACATATATGGGACAAAGAGGTAGCATTAGTTGGGTTATTTATTTTTTTATGCGTTAATTTTAATTTTAATTTCTATTCTGATATTTTTTATTACTAACATTGATTATTTCTGGAAAATCGCAGGTGCGTGATCCCTAGAAGTTTCTGAACTATAGGAGGAAGATTGTTGGCTTGCCTTTGTCGGATAAGGAGTGGTTTCAGTCGGTTCTGACTTTATCTGAGTTAAGTGACCTATGCGTGACCGGTTACGCTCTAGTCAACCACGAGATGCTTAATGCATTCGTGGAGAGATGGTATTCTGAGATGTATTTTTTTCATTTCCTGCACGGTGAGATGTCTATCACACTGGATGATATCTCGTGTTTGTTACATATTTCAATCAGGGGGAATTTCCTCGATCATGGTAGGATGACCAAAGACGAGGCAATCAATACGATGGTTGAGCATCTGAGGGCTGATCCAGAGAATGTGATTCAGGAGGTGGATATGACTAGGGGTGCTCATGTTAGGTTTGAGTTTCTGAAGGAGAGATATAATGAGGAGATCGTTGTTGCAGAGGTGGGTGATGGTGATGCTGAGCAGGTGGCAGTACACAAGGTCCGTGCTTTGAGGGCATATTTTCTTTTTTTGATTGGCACCTCCATTTTCATGGACATGAGTGCCACCTATACTGATGTTGCATACCTTTTGTACTTCTTCGATCTCACTCAGATCCATGAATACAATTAAGGGGCGGCTTGCCTGACCTATCTGTATTTGAAGTTGAAAGATAGATGTCGGTAGAGGATAAAATAGATCACAAGCAACACATCACTATTGGCCTCGTACCTGTGCTTTTATCTCACTGAGAGGGAACCAGGTGGTCAAACCTTTCAGAGTATCCCTTGATCGTTTGGTTGCTGAGGATACGCACTTCAACAACTACATGAATTACCGTGAGACGTAGCCATTTGACGACATATCTCTATACTCTAGATGGCTGGCATACGGATCGCGTATCACTGCTCCTTATTTGCCCGAGCACGTCATGCAAAAGTTCGGGTACACCCAAACCATCCCCAAATACCATGATGTCTCTGCTCCTTCTGCCTTATCTCGTACACATATAGAGGAGATATTTGTTGATTATGAGAGTCACTTGGTACTAGAGAAGGCTCGGGCTACCATAGCGTCGAACGACTGGAGCTACGTCGGCAGATACATCAGGTGGTTCTTCAGGGTCTCATATCCGTACATGGTGCCGACTGCTCCAGGAGATTCGTCGATACCAACTTATTATGAGATTATAGAGGAGCAGCGGACTTAGCTAGATCATACTAAGGATGTATTACCTTGATGTCGTTGCATAATGGAGATTGCGCAGACAGGAATCAACGAGGGTATCTTTCCTAAGGGGCCTATTGTCACGCGAGTTCTGGATGCCATGATGGCGGAGGCACTGTTGTATCAGAGACATCGCCAGAGGACATGGAGGATGGTTGATAGCAGAGGAGGTAGATGAGATATTGTCGGAAACACCCACTAGTAGCCTGTTATTATTTTGATATAATGATATTGTTTGTACTTTTATTTCTAACCTTGTTACCACATTTTGGATCTAATGTTGTATGAAATTTTACTATTCTATTCCTATATTATTTTCGACACACGTAATACTAGTCTTTTATTAATTTGTACGTCAATTTTTTCATATGAAAACAAACACACAACTCATTATAAAAAAAACATGTTCTGATACACTTCAGAGATGTATCTTTGAAATATCACCGGAGATGCATCTCCGGAATAGTTCGAATGTAAATGGGTTATGGGTGACGTGTTATAAATGACTTAGGCTTTGAATTTTTTAGTAGGTCAGGCTCAGGCTTGGCGAAGCCTAGCTCGGCCCAGCCTATTCCCACCCTTAGTTGTGATGTTATCAACCACCATCAACACTGTCCATTATATTTGGCAAGCTAGGAATTTGGTAAGATTCAAGGATATGAGATCTCATTGGAAACCATCTCTCTCTGCTGTCATCTCTGATGTTTCTCTATCAGGCAATGTAACAAGGAAAACTGCTTCTAACACTCAGCTATAATCCAACATCTTAAAAAGTTTTAATATTACCATTCATCCTCCAAAAATTCAGGTGACAAAATAATTTATCTGACATCCTCCTGCTGTAGACTGGGTAAATTGCAATACATATGACACCTTTGTTGGGGTGTCAGGCGTGGCTACTTGCAGTGGGATTTTTAGGAATCATTGTGCTCGTCATTTGAAAAGTTTCTCCATGAAAATTGGTTAGGGTAGTACTCTTGTTACAAAATTGACTGGGGCCTTACTTGCCCTTGAATTTCAAAGAATAAAAAGTGGTACAACCTTTGATTAAGTATGACTCAAAGTTTCTTATTTAGTTTTTAGAAAGCTTTCTACAATTTCTTGTAGACTATAAAATATATGGATAAATGCATTAGATATCACTGGATCTATGAAGTTTTTTGCCACCCATATTTTTAGGAAATGCAATTATTGTGCGAATAGATTAGCTAACATTGATTTACATGTATAAAACTTCACTCAATGGGAGGTGGTTCATAGGATAATTTTTATAAAATTTGCTAAAAACTCCCTAAAACTTCCATATTATATGATTCTTTTTATTGAGGGGTTATGGCTTTGATCCCCTAATTTTTGTAGAAAATTTTACCTTATATGTCTGCATTTATTCCGATATCTCTACTGTTTATAAAATATTTCAAATTTACCCTTGTTTGATTTTAATTAAATTATCTTTTTTTTTATAATATTTATTGAAGTTTTCGAAAAATTTAAAGGAGTTTGTACCCCTACAAATTTATACAAGATAACTACATATCTGAGTTTGGGTATATTTTCTTGTCTTTCAGATAACTTAGAATTACATTATCCAATTTGAATTTATATACAGAAGTATTTTGATCAAAATTAAAAAATTGTAAAAGTATAAAAATAAGTATCGGATTGTGGAGTAAAAATTTCATTTTTTTTAAAATCTAGGTAACGCTCTTTCTTTTTAAATAAAACTTGTTAAAAACTCCACGTAAATTGCAATAAATTAGCTAAAAATCTAGATAACGCTCTTTCTTTTTAGCAAATTAAAGAAGTACCTCCCATTGTTAAAAAACTACACGTAAATAAAATTTGTAAATTTAAGCTTTTTATTTGAAGTAAAAAAAAAAAAGCAACAATTTGTTAGACCCTCCGTGGTAAATTTGCTCTAGTAACGATAAAGCTGAAGAGCAGTCGAAAACCCTAGCACTCTTGAGTCTCGAAGCCTTAAACCCCAAATTAGGTTAAACGCCAGTTGCAGAATAGATCCATCTTCTACCTTTTCGCGCATATCAAAGATTCAAAGCAACCTTAAAACTCAGATATGGTTTGGTTTCAATGCGAAGATTGTGGTGACAACCTCAAAAAACCTAAGTTGCCCAATCATTTTCGATCATGCTCCGCCAACAAGGTTCTTATTCAATTTCATTCACAATCAATTCACTTTCACTTCACTAATTGACGCGATGCTTGTTTTTGTTTTTGTTTATGCTATTGTAGCTTTCATGCATTGACTGTGGCCAAATGTTTGGGAGAGACACCGTTCAGAATCACACACAGTGTATTACGGAAGCGGTGAGTTTTTCGTTCTTATTCTCTCAATGGATTGTTCTGATGTATTACATTTGTACATTGTGTTTTTGTGATTTTTTGAATGATTATGCATAGATTATAGATTAGATTGTTGCATTATAACCTATTTTGAATTTGGCTGTGTTTGGATTGGTTTGGATTGATGGAATTGAATGGAGTGGAGCGGTATGGGCTGGAATGAAGGTGGCATTCCATTGTTTGGATCATTTATAATCAGATGGAGTGGAATGGATTGGTATGAATTCCATTCTATTTCTTCACTTGCCACCATATTTCTTCCCCGATTTATTTGCGGTGTTCTGTCCTATAATTTCCAAACCGATGGAATGAAATCTTGATTCCACTTCGCTCCATTCTGCCACATCCTGCTCCGCTCCATTATGCTCCGTTCATTTTATGATAATCAAACATAGCCCATGCTTGGATTGATGGAGTGCAACAAAATAGAATGAAATAATGTCGGAATGGGATGAAATAATGTTATGTTCCGTGGTTTGGATTGGTAAAAAAAAGATGGAATGGAGCAGAACATGAGGGAATGCATTCCATCCAATTCCATTACTTACCCTCATTTTTGTTCCTTCTGATTTGGACGGAATAACATATTTGTTACATTGCATCCTAAAATATCTAAACAATTGAATGAGATATCCATTCCACTCCGTTCCATTCCGCTCCGTTCGTTTTGAAATATCCAAACACTGCCTAAGTGAGATAAGTTAAGTGAGAAGATAAAGGATTTTTAAAAAAATTGTGATTTGCTATAATGTATAGGCCAGATATATTGTAAACCCTTAAAATATAAGGGGTTTTGTTTTCTTCGTCGGCTCACGTTTGCTTTGATTTTCAGGAAAAGTATGGTCCAAAAGGCCAAGGTAAAGCTTTGAATGGTTCAGCTGCCAAGCCTGGCAAAGATAAAAAGCAAAGGCCGGAAGTTGATATTAATGTGGGTTTATCTAATCGCCCTCCGTGGTTCTGTAGGTATATACTCTATGGGATACTCTTTCTAGTTATCATTGTTGTCACTAGTGATATTCAAATTACGGAGTAAATGTCAATTGAGATGTTGCATTATACTCCCTTCGTTCTTATTATAAGAAAAAGTTCACTTTTTAGCTACATTGAGTAATCTATGTATATAAAAAGTGATTTTTTTTCTTATAATATTAACTGAAAGAAGTATGTTTTAAAATGTTATTAGAGAGGAACATAATTATCATGGTCTACATATCATGTTCAGATGGGAATCAGGCTTCTAAAGTTATTCGTCCTTGCATTTGAGTCTTCCTATTATTTCTTATGGTATATTGGATCATATAGGCAACAAGACCACTGCCCAAATCTTCTATGTAAATGTAAACAGAGGATGTAAAAAGTTAACCAAGCCTATTGTGTAGAAAGTTCAAGGGTACCAAGTTAAGTGTGCAACACATGCCTTTTTTTGTCCATGTGATTTAATTATGAAGTGGCCAACGGGGAAGGTTAAATTATACTGAAGTTTAGTGTAATAAAATCATAAATACAATATAGGCATTACACCTTTTTGTAAACAAATGGCTTTTTGAGGTTTGATTCTGTGTAGTAGGATATTTTCAGCTGTTAATGATATTGGTTAGTCCTTAGTCAGTTAAGACTTAAGAGTTATGAAGCACTGACATGGACTGGACTCGACGGCCGGCACCAGTAACCATTTGAGAAAATTGTGTAATTGAATGTAACAACACGTGTCGGTCTCATGTTTGCGTCCGACATTGACACATGTCAGATACCAAACAGTTTCAACCTAAAGTATTAGTGCTACATATGTTAAGAGTCTTAAATAATTATTAGCCTGCAAGTCTCTTGTGGATCAAGATCTGTTTATGAAAGTGAATGCTAGTTGAGTTCCAAATATCTTTCTTTGTTTAATTGGTTAGATTTACTCTCTAATTTTTTTACATTTTATACTACTTGAATATTGTTTATTTTTTGTCCATTTCAAACTTTTAGTTTGTGAATATTATGAGTGCGAACTGCCTAAACGGCATATTGTAGTGTCTGATACTACTTTATGGAGTAATAGAAAAGAATATGGAGTAATAGAAAAGAATGAAATGATTCTCTTCTTCACCAGATATTGTGTCACCCTAACGATTTTGTCCTATTCATTATGCTCTACTCATTTATGGTTATGCAGTCTTTGCAATACGAAAGCTACAAGCCAGCAAGCTCTCCTTCTCCATGCTGAAGGAAAGAAACACGGGGCAAAATCCCGAGCATTCCATGCTTCGCAGCAGCCACCAGTCCAGGCAGATAAACCCGCCCCCGATGCAAAGGATGTAGCGGAGGCGGCTTCTGATGGTACAGAGAAGAAAGATGGCAGCAATGCAGAGCATCCAAAATTGCAAGAGTCTTCTGAACAAAATAACTTGAAACCAGGGAGTGAAGTTTCTTCTGAAAAGAAAAAGAGGAAACTTGATGCATCAGAGGGTGGAATTATTAAAAAGTGCAAGAATGACACTTCAGTTGACACGGAAAATGGCGAAGTAATTCAAGGCGAGAAGACAAAAGAGAAGAAAATAAAATGGAAGAAGTTTATCAAAGCAGCCTTAAAATCTGTATGTGGATTGAATTTCAGAATGAATGACACCTTTGTTTTCTGCTTGATTTATCGACGCTATATAGTTAGTAATGTTTATCTGTTATATTTAAATAGCGACTCTTAAGGTGGACTCATATAGTTTCTAAAACTGCATTTAGAATGAACTTGCCCAATTTTTTATTTATTGAGTTTTGATATATGCATATAATTTTCTTACTGCACATAATGTGCTAATTGTTATATTTATGGCAGCATCCTGATGGATTGAAGATGAAGAAACTGAGAAAAGCTGTATTCAAAGCGCTGCAAGAATCCGGCATTGTAGTAAATGAAAATGAATTGACCGACACACTTGAGCAGAAGGTATGTCCATCTACATAGTTGTGATTCAAATTTAAATAATTGTCATTGAATAATAAATAATTTTGATTTTCATATGATACTTTATTGCTTACAGATAAATTCTAGCTCCAAATTCGCAGTTGAGAAGAAGTATGTGCGATTAGTTGCCAAAGATTGAACGCTGCTGTTTGAGGTGTCAGAGATCAAGAATCAATTATTTTTGTCTGCCAATGTTTTATAACATTCATTCTTGAAAAGCATCTCAGAAAATTTTTGTTGCCGAATAATTTATTGTATGCTTTGTGCGAAATTCAGTTATCATCTTGTAGAAAAACCAAAGAGAATATTGAAATTTCTGAACTGTCATTGAAATTTCTGAACGCTGTGATATGATGCTTTTATGGCAAATCATATTACAGAGCATAATCAAATTTCTGTTGTTTTATTTTATTTACCTTGTTTCTTGCATAGGTTTATTATTAGTGCAATTATCGCACATTAAAATAATTCGATAATAACAATTATTAATTTATCTTATTTTGTATTTATAAAAAATTAGCATACTGTCAAATTTTATTTTTATAATAAAAATTTTGCTCTAAAATATATTGATAGATAAATGTTAATGTTTAATTAAGAAATACTGTATATATGTTATTGATATTTTTACGAGTATTTTATATGGAAACCATCTTTATTAAAATGTTATTTGAATAAGCTGTCGGTTGTTTCTAATTAATTAATTTGTTTATTTTAATATAAATATTTTGGAAGCATTTATCAAAAATCATATGTTCTGGATTGGGTCAAGATCTGTCCCACAGGCGGGGAGACCCAACCCAACGCTAAGTTGGGGAGGCTCAACAAAGTCCAATCTTCTTTCATGTCGGGCACATATAATTCTGTAGTCGGGCAAACCAATACCTAACGTGGGGAGAGCTCACGCGTCTTCCTCACGTTCTCCACGCGCCCCTACGTGGGGACACGTTATCAGACAACTACTTACTCGTATTGGCATTGCAATCCAACTCAATGCGAAGTAACAGTTGACCCTGCGTTGGGGCACATTATAAATACCCTCTTTCACTAGAGAGTCAAGTATGTTAGAACACAAATTGGTTCTTAGTTATATCTCTATGTTTTGATGATAACACTAATGAAATTTTGTATTAAGAAATTATATACTCTAAATTTGTTCAAGTATTTTTGTTGCAGATATTAAATTTAATATTCTTCTGAAAGCAAAAATGAATATGAACATTGAACTACGCAAGACTCTGAGCGTCAGAAGCATCTCGTTAGAAGACTCTGAGCGCTGCCTACAGAAGACTCTGAAGTAGAAGCTACAGAAGCATCTGAAGCGTGGCTGAAGACTTTGTATGAAGAGTTTCAAGCATTGTTTTTCAGAAGACTCTGATAGTACTGTTCGCTGCAAGTACTGAGGATCTGATCTCCAAACTCTGCTCTGATTGTTGTACACGCTGAAGCACACTTGCTGCAACACTCTGATACAGCAAACTCTGATAACATCAAGACTTTGATCACTCAAGGCTCTGATGTTGATAGCTGTGAAATAGAAGCTTGTTGAAGAAGATTATTCAAAGAGATATCCGTTGGCATATTCCAAAACGACTCTTTCCTCTTTTATGCTAAACACAAGAACTCAGGCAAAAATGATTTCTCTGAACGTTCTACTTCTAGGAAAGGTCAAGTCATGTGAAGACAAAAGGCTACAACTACTTTGCAGTACACGGTCTTCAAGCTTGCAACGTCTTGGAAGTCTTTGTCTATAAAAGCAGGCCTTCAACAACTTTCTATAGTTGACGGAAATTGACGAATATTGTCTAAACTATTGAAAACTATTAGAACACAGATTGATGTTTCTTATATCTCTATGTTTTGATGATAACTCTTATGGAATTTTGTATTAAGAAAATATATACTCTAAATTTGTTCAAGTATTATTGTTTCAGGTATTAAATTGAATACTTTTAAAGAAGCAAAATACATAAGTACAAGCAACTACGTAAGGCTCTGAAGCATCAGATGCAATACAATCAGAAGACTCTGAAGCTCTGCCAGAAGAATCTGAAGCAGAAGCTGCAGAATGATCTGAAGCGTTTCTGAAAGAATTGTATAAAGAGTTGCAAGCTTTGATCAAATAAGACTCTGAAGTTCATTTCACTGCAAGAACATAGGCTTTGATAATCAGACTCTAATCAATAATATTCACGCTCAAGCACATACTTGTTGCACCCCAAAATTTGACCAACATTTATTTACCTAGCAAGAGTTAAATGAGACTTTGAAGCTAGCCAAGAGGGTTATTCAAAGGATCAAAGGTTGATACCTTTGTCAGAGAACTCAAGAGATCCTCAGAGAGATTGGTTGAAACCAAGGTTGTGTGCCTCATAACTTGAGAGTTGTGGGAGCTCCTCAGATGATTCTGAAACTATGAGGATAGACTTGAAGCTTTGAGAAAGTTTATGAGATGTCTTGAAAGCCATCATGAAGCCTAGAGAGGTCATTGTACAAGAACTCAGAAGATTCAGCCATGAGTGGTGGAATTAGGGTTTGACTGGGTCAGCCCTAGGTCAACTGATGATTTGGAGAGGGTTGAGACCTAATCCAAGGAGCCATGTGATCATGGAATGATGCATTGAGATGATATAAGGATGATTCCTAGAACAACTCATAATGATTGAGGAGTTTGAGAAGTTTTAAGCTAGGGTTTCTAAGGATTGACAGTGTAAAATCCCCTAGTTTGATCCCTATCTTCAAGGCAGTTTAAGTCAAGATGTGATTGTCATCTCATCTTCCCCACAAGATGAATGTTGTAGAGCTTGTTCTTAGCTTTAATTTGAGTACTAGAAGTCCTTGATAGGATTTGTAGAGCTCAAGTTATGACTTTGACAAATTACAGGTCATCTGAGGTATGTGAATCTGGGTCCTTGAAAGTCACCCAACTTGCATCCAACTTTTGCCCTAGTAGGATGATTCCTATGGATTCTTGGTCAACATGAATGTTGAAGAGAATATTCTTAGCTTTATAGAGAGTACTAGAAGTCCTTGATAGGATTTTTAGAACTCAACTTATGGCTTTGACAAGTCAAGGGCATTTTGGTCATTTGGAGGTTATAGGTCATTTCAAGCATAAGGCCATATCTCCTAGTTCCAAGCTTCAAATGGAAAAATCTTCAACATCAAACTTGCTTAGAATGATGTTTTAAGGCTATTAAGGAGGTCATGAGATGTTGGAAAGGCTCATATCAAAAAGTGATAAAAATGGCCTAAAATGGAGGCATAAGTTAATTAAGTTGAATTTGAAAAATGGAAATCCCAAGTTATAAGTCCAAACCATGTCATGTAATAGGTCATTTTGACTCCAAATGACATTATAAGAACAATGGTTCAGCCACAATTTTGATTTGAGGCCTGCATCATAGGGCTGCTTTGGAATTGGCTTACTTGCATATTAAGGTACCAAGGCAAAACTCAAAAGAACTCAATACACAAGGTAGTTATGCATTGTAACTCACTCTAAATCTCATGTGGGGATAAATTCAAGTCAGAATTGGTAGTTATGAGATGCTTGGCATGAGATAGCATGTAAGGAGAATGAGAAATCAAAATACCATGACATGAAAAATTCAATTTCTCATTGGATGATCCTAGAGGGTTCTAGATGATTCTAAACCACTCTATAAGATGAATGTAACTTGCTCAGGTGCAAGGTTGGTGAGAATTGGTGCATGAAAGAGAGAGTGAAATCCAAAATCCTCCATTGCAAGTCACATTCAATTTCTTCATTCTTCTTCATTTCCATCCATTATTTCTTCACAAACACTTTTCATAGATCCCTCTGAGTGTGTGCATGCTGAATTGAAGCTCCATTGATGGAGGATTGAAGGGGTTCCAATTGAATTTGCAAGAAGCCAATCATCATCGAATCTTGAAGTACAAGCATTCTTCCTCCATTTTTTTGCAAACAGTAGAAGTTTCATCATCCAAGGATCATTCTTGAAGAGTTTCAAGCCTTGAATTGAAGATCTTCATCATCTGCCATATCAAGAAGCCAGGTTTGCAAAATCTCTTTCACCTCATTATTTAGGCATGGTTAGGTTGAATTATTAGTATAGAATGGTTAGAGACCAATAGGTGATCAATTCTGAAGAGTTTAGGATCATTTGATGAAGTTTCGGTCATGGACACCATTTCTTTATGGAGCAAGAACTAGTGATATAGTGAGTGATAATGCAAGATTGTTAGCTGGTTTTGACTAGGGCAATGTGGTGATCATTTTGATGCAAAGAAATCTAAGGTTGGTTGAAGTTGAGGATGGATCATATTTTGAGATTAATGGAGTTGCACCATCGGGTTTGAGGATAGAGGTCCTTTCAATGAAAACCAAGGCCATGATCGTGTTCAGAGAGAAAAACTAAGCAATTTAGTGTTTTAGATTGTTGAATTTGATGCTGATTTGGGGTAATACGAGTGGATGGAAGATGGCTGCATGAGGTCTGTTTCATGAAGCTCCCATGACAAACCCTAGCTCAGGGAAGAAGACGAAGCATGGACCGTGAGATGCGCGCTGACTCTTGACCTGAGAAGCTGATCCAACGCACGACGTTTAATCTCATTTTTGGAGGGAATCAGAAGCATAATGAAACGCCGCGTTTCATTAAAGAAAAATTCTGGGCTTAAGTGATCATGACTATCAACACCCCCCATACGAGGCCCATTGTGATTTGAACTGAAATCCTTTGATATTTGCACCGTATCTTTTTCCTTTTTCTTTGTTATTTTCTTAATTGTTTTCTGATTGGTTTTGGGCCTAGCGCGCATGCTATCCCCACCCCCCAGTCTGGGCCCAAGCGTGGATTGCACTATATCTGTTTACTTGTCACACCCCATGCTTCATTTTCATTTTTATTTTTCTCCATTTTTATTTCCAACTTTGAAAATTCATATTAAATTGAAAATTAAAGATTTTTTCATGGGAGCTTTTTCTCCTATTTCATATTTTTGTCTAGAAAAATATAAAATAAAAACATCTTTCATATCATGCATTTTAGTATTTTTTTGCATATTTTCCATTTTTATTGCATTTTAATTTCTTTTATATTGATATATGAACTTGTAGAATTTTGTTTAGGTAGATCCCTTAATATTTTTAGT